AGCCTCAAATGCCACCTCCTCAGGGAGGCCCGATGACACCCCTCTTTCAAAAGAAGGCTCCCCATACCCTGCTTCAAATACACAACAAAAGGGCTCTTGGTGTGATTTAGTGTCTCTCTGTCCTGCTCAGTTGTGAGCCCCCTGAGAGTAAGGATGTGTCCTACTGGCTCATGGCGGTATCCTCAGGGGCTGGTAAGCTGCAAGGGCCAAGCCAATGTCAGTCCCTTCTGCCCCTCCACAGTCAGTGATTCTCCACCTAGGATGTCTCAGGCTGTCCCCTAATTCCCTTTGGCCTCAGTATCCAAATCTGGGAATTGGAACCACTCAGATGTATCCCAAAGCATTCAGAGGATGAGAGCTTAGTAAGGGTGGGCTGTCCCCCACTGGAGAGCCTGGGGATGACCAAGAGAGGGGCTCTCAGAGGCCATAGACTGGCACCAAGACCATGCTGGGATGAGAACATGGAGGAAGTGACAAGGAGATTGGTAGGAGGCAAGAAGACAGGGAGCCTGAGCAGGGTAGGCAGAGTCACTAGGGAAACCCAAAACCTTGCCTCTCAGGCCCCACCTTGGGCTTTGGGCAGAGGCCCGCTCACCAGGCCCCCTGCCACCACTCACGCCCCAGGTGCCTCCCAGCCTGCCCTGTGTCCAGGCAGAAGAGACCTGGCACATCACCTCTGTGAGGCCTCCCCGCAAGTGTTTCATGGGCATTATCTCAACTCAGCACAACCCCACGAGGGAGGTTCTATTATCATCCCCATTTTACAGATGAGGAAATAGGAGCTGAGCAGGGTTTCAGAAACATGCCCAAGGTCACTCAGCCTGGAAGAGGCAGGGCTGAGCTATGAACCCAGGTTGCATTCCGGAGCCCAAGCTCTCAGCCCCTCTGCCACATTCTCACTGGCCTTTGCCTCCCCAGGGGCCAAGAGGGCAGGGAGGGTGGGCATTACCCATTTGTCAGCCTCCTGGGCACCAGAGTGGGGGAGGGAGGGCAGAGCCTGAGATCTTGTCCCAGGACACCCCACTCTTGGTGCCGGACAGGTGTCGTGGAGGGGTGGGCAGAGCCGGGGGCAGACAACGGAGGGTGGCCTAGGGTAGCAGGCATCTACTCACAAAATGCTGGGGTATCCTGGGGCCCTGCACACACTCCTCTTTCTACACTCACCCCGAGATGATCTCATCTACTCCCATGGGTTTAAATCCCACCTCTCCGCGATGGTGAGTTCCAAATTTACACTTCTAGCCCGCCTTCCCCTGAGCTTCCGGCTTGCATCACCACACTGCCCACCTTACACTTCAGACTCAACATGCTCAAAATCGAGCTCCTGGTCCTGCCCCCGCCCCCCAAACCTGCTCCTGCTGTCCTCCGGTAACGGCACCAACACCCACCCAGAATCAAAGACACTGACGTCATCCTCGAGTCCCTTTCCTCTCACCCGGCACATCCCATCCACCGCACCGCACGTCATGTGGGACTTTCCTCCAAAATGTACCCTGAACCCCACCGTTCTCCTCCTCCTGCTGTGAAAGCCTGGCCCGTGTCCCTCCTCAGCGCCTGCGCACTGGAGCCGACTCCTCACCTGTCCCCCGCCCCCTCCCCAAGTTACACACTTGCTGGAATCGCTCAAGGCGCTCCACTCCTGAAAAGCTTCTGGCAGAAATGAAAATCAACCCAACTACTCACCAGAGCCTCAGGGTCTTGTAGATCCAACCCCTGGCTACCTCTCTGATGTCATGTTGCCCTTGCACACCAAACACCAGCCACAGGGGCTCCTTTCCGTTCTTTGAACAAGCCAAATTTGTTACTGCCCCAGGGCTTTTGCACAAACAGTTCCCTCCACCTAGAATGCGTCTCAGTCCCATGGCTTCTCATCTCAGATGCTACCCCTTCCTAGAAACCATTGCTGACCTTCCTTTTCCCCTTCCACAGGACGGACCCCATTCTCTCATTGTCTTCTTCCTATACAGGCTTCTGTGTTTACCATTTCAGAGTTTCCCCCTGTGGAATGCAAAGGTTTTGTCTTTTCTAACCTAGACTCTCCAGCGCTGTGGCACTGTGGACACTCCACGAATGTCCGAATAATTAAATGAATTAGCCTCAGTTTTCCCTTCTGTAAAAGGGGGATGAAGAAGGAACATCGATCCAGACAAGTCCTAGCAGGGTCCCAGGCGGCTGCTGTGCCACTTCTGCCACAGAGCTGACCACAGGGCCATCCAGGGGTGCCCAGGAGCCCAGGCTGGCCCGGGGCAGCCTCTGCTCCCTATGGTGTATTTTCCCACTTCCTCTCCCTGGGGGGTTGGCTCCTGGGAAGCCCCAGGAGATGGAGACGGAAGGCTGTTTCCATGCTCACAGGTCTGGGGACCCAGGCCTAGGTCGAGAGGTCAGGATCCCATGAGGGAGCAGGTAGGGCTGGCTAGGGGCCCGACTGAACTCCCTCCAGGTGCCCCAGCCCTGGCCTCCTCACTAGCTTTTATGAGGATCAAATAACGCTTTCCCACCCGTGCCCCCACCTCAGGCCAAGCCCCCCTCATCTGCCCTGGGCTCACACCCAGACACCCCGCACATCCTCCCACAGGGCCACTGTTAGAGGGCCCCAGGGTGCTTGCGGCCGTGAGAGGACCCGGGCCTCAGGGGGTACAGAGTCCACATCTTGCTCCACTCAACAAGCTAACAGGGGGCCAATTCAGCAGTGGCCGCGCTGGTCCACTGTGTTGCCTACTTGCTGGCACCTGCCTTGGCTAGACAGTGATCTCCAGGAAGACAGGGGCCAGGTTGGCCCTGGCACACATGGGTCCCCAAGCCTAACTGATCACCAACAGCTGTCTCTCATGTGTTTACCAAAGGATGTTTATACCCATGAACTCCCTGAAGCCCAGCACTGCCTGGTCGGGCAGGTAGGGCAGCAATGGTCTGTAGTCCCATTCTACAGATAGGGAAGATGGAGGCCCATGCACCTGCATGTCCCTGTTCAGGGCCTGGCTCTCAGAGGCTCTCAAGACTGAGATTAGGAAACTGAGCTTTGGACTCTAAGAGATGCTGTCCTTCCTGGCTGGGGGACTTTGGGCAAGGCATCTAACCTTGAGGTTTCTTCCCTTAGCTCCAGGATGGGCATCAGGGTACCTGCCTCATGAAGCTGCTGTGGGCCATCCTGGGGAGAATGGTATGGGGCACCTGAGAAGGGCTCAGCAGGGGTGGGGGTGGGGGATATGGTCACCTTCCCACCCCTCCCCCCACTCCATGCTTCCTGCCCAGAGCACACAGCCCAGGAATAAGCAGGCTTTCAGCGAACATTCTACAGACGAAAGGTAGGAATGTGGTTTGTACACTGTAAAGTGCCACATTTCTGTGGGTGTTTCTTAAAGCACTAAGGCCTCTGGGCTTTGCTGTGTCCAAAGTCCCCGCCACCCCCTCACCCTGACTGCTGGGCCACAGGGAAGGGGCCCATCTGTGTATCTCTTGCCTGTTTGTCTCTGCAGCTCTGAAGGTCACGTGAGCAGGAGGGGGGCTCTATGGGAGCCCATCCCCAAGAGACAGACGGCCTCCCCCGCTGCTGACCAGATGGGCCCAGCCGCCCCCACGGTGGCTTTCCAACATCTCCCAGATACACTGCTCCAGTCAGAATCCTTCCCTCCAGCCCCAGGGTTGGCATTGGGTTTCCCAGGTCATCTGAGGGGTAGGAACAACCATCCAGTGAAACTGCCCTTAATAGAGGTGGGGAAACAGTCTCAGAGAGGGCAAATGACTCTCCTGAGGCTTCACAGCAGAATCTGGCTTGGACCCAGGATGTCCCCTCAGAACTGCTGTCTCTCTGAGGGAGGAGGGGCCTCTGCTTCCCTCTCTCACATGCCAGTACTTCCTTAGCAGCAAAGGTCACTGGGAGAAAGCTAGGGTTTTTGAAGAAGGTGAGGGAGGGAGTGGGGAGGCCAGTGTCACTGCCTCTCCCCGTGTGCTCAGCCCCCATCCCGCTCCCAGGAGGGCGCCATCCTCTTCTTAGCACCAAAACGCCATCCCTGCCTCCATTTTCCCTGGGGATCCTGGGGGGGGGTCACGACCCCACCTGCCCCCCTAAACCGGGGACCTTTTGTCTTAGCGGTTGTCCCCCACTCCCTGCTACCTGGCCCTCCCAGCGCCCTGGGGGATCAGAGACAGGAGGGGGATTAGGTTGTGCAAATGGCTCCCCCCTCCCCGCCATCCTGCTTCCCTGTCTTAGTCATCTCTGCCCTCCGCCGCCTTCTCCCTCCATTACGATCCCTCTGCCAGGCCCGGGGGGAGAGCGACGGTGGCAGGCGCCTCCCCACCCAGGAGCGGCAGCCGAGCCAGGGACCGGCGGCTCGCAAGAGGATCAGAAGCGGTCTCGCCGCCAACCCCCTCCTGGCCTGCAGCACCCCCCCCATCCTCCCCCCTCCGCCGCCGCGCTGCGCACACGGATGGCGGCGGGAGCTGCAGAGGTGTGTGTGTGAGGAGGGAGGCCGTGCCTGGTTCTCGATGTCCGGGGGCTGTGTCCTCTCTCAGGGACACAGCTTGGAGGGGGGTCCCTAGCCACGGCCCAGGGATCCTCATGGGGGAGGGAGCTGTCCTCCGTGGAGCCTAGGGCTGGGGAGCACTGCCCTTGGGGTACTGCCGGCTCCGAGGGACGCGGGAGCCGAAGGGAGGCGCTGAGTAATGCAGGCCCCCCCTGGTGCCTATACTGGGGGAGGGGGGACCCTTCGCCAGGGTCTCTTAGCAGAGCGCGGTCTTCCCTAAGGGATGTGGCAAGGAGGAGGGGGGCGTGATACCATGGTCGGTGGCTTGACGACGTTTGAGAACGAGCTGGGGGAGCTGCCTTCCCTAAGGGGGTCTCGGGGTTGGGGGGGCACCCTCCGTCTGGCTGCAGGCGGGGGGCGCCCCGCCCGCGGGGGCAGCGCCGAGGGCTGCGAGGTCGCGGCGCCGTCCTGGCCGGGGGCGGAGGCCCGGGGACCCGGGCTGGGGGCAGTCCGCGCTCCGGCGCGCGCCGCTCCTACCTGCCTACGAAATTCTCGAGCACCGAGCTCTTGCCGGCGCTCTGGCCGCCCACCACGGCGATCTGCGGCAGGTCGAGGTCCGCGTTCTGGCCGATAGCGGAGAAGGCGTCCTGCAGCCGGTTAACCAGCGGGATGAGATCCTCCATGCCGCGGTTGCCCATGGCTGCAGCGGGCCTCGCGGGCTGCGATCCGGCAGCCGCTCCCGCTCCCGGCTTCGGCTCCGCCGCTGCAGCCGCGCGCTCCGACTGCCTGCGCCGCGGACCCCCCGCCCCTCCGTGAGCGGAGCGGAGCTCTGCGCCAGGATACCGCCAGAGGGCGCCCCCGGCTCTGCGGGCTGGCAGTCGTGCGCAGGTGCTCCCTGCGGCACTATGGGGATTGTAGTTTTCTCCATCTACGGCTTTCGGGGCGCTTGAGCCGCGTTTGGGGGGCTATGGTGCTGTACTGCAGCTATCATTCCTGGAAATGGGCAAGGTTTCACCCCTAGTACTGGACCTCTCGGCTAGTGGTCATGGCTGTCTCCATCTTACAGATGAGGAAACTGAGGCTTGGAGAGAGATGGGTCTCCTTCAAGGTCACGTCTCCTGACCTGGAGTTCCGCTCGGCCTCAGCCTCGCTGCCTTCTGCTCTAGGTTCTGCCACTTACTCATGGTGGCATGCCCTTCCCGCCTTTGGGCCTCAGTTTCTGTTTCTAGATGGAGATAGAGCAGAACATTAATTCAAGAAATATTTATTGAGCAGCTACTATAAGCCAGCCCCTGTTGTAAGCAGTGGAGATACAGCAGTGAACATGACCTTCAGATCTTGCATCGGGGTGGTGGAGACAGACAGTGAATGAAGAAACAGGTACATGAAATCGTAAAAGCGAAAACAGTTTACACTAACGGTGATGGAAGAAGTAAACAGTGTGTGAAGAGAGGTACCTGTGTCGGTGCAAAAGGTCCATTTAGCCCGGGAGGAGGTGGGTGGTTTTCTGAGGAGGTGACATTTGAGAAGAGACCTAGATGATGAGAAGGAGCCAGTCACAGGCAGATCAAGGAGGAAAGCAAGCCAGGCTGAATGAACAGGAAGGGCCAGGGCAGTGACCGTGGAAGGCCTTCTTGGGAGAGTTGGGACTTCTTGTCCTAGACAGTGTCAGTCTTTGCCTCAACCCATCAGGGTGGTGGTAAAACTGGAATTCGAATCCAGGACTCCTATAGCCCTACCCTATGTATCCCGTTCACATGGAGAGACCATGGGCCCCAGGCCTAGCCATCCACCTCTGATTCTGAGGAACCTAATTTGGACTCCCCACAAGGAGGCTAGAAAAGAGAGGCCAGCTTACTCTGTGCTGCTGGGCATCAGGGGGTCCCTCTATATGTGAATGTGGGGGCGGGGGAGCACTGCTGGGAGAGCAGTGCCCTGGGAATCAGAGACCACCATTCACTCACCAGTTCAGTGCATATTACCTGAGCCAGACCCTATGCTAGACCCTAGCGATAAAACAGTGAGAAAAATGGACAAAGTCCTTATCCGTATGTGGCTTATATCCATATGTGGAAAAAGAGGAACAAACCACCAATGAGCCAATAAATAGGATTCTGTCAGGTGGTGATGGGTGCTTTGGAAAGCAAGAAAGCTGGGGAAGGTTGGGGCGGGGGTAGTGTTGCTCTTTGTTTAGCACGGTGAGAGTAGGATTCTGGTAAAAATGTGAACAGAGACCTAAAGGAAGTTGGGGAGTTACCCACGTGGACATCTGGGGGTGGGGGATTTTCCAGGCAGGCAGAGGAAAATGAGCAGGCCCTGGGCTTTGGTCAAGCTGGGTGATCCATGTCCCTTCCTGTCTCTGAGCCTCAGTTTTCTAATCTGGGTAATGGGGATGATGAGAGATTGGAATCCCTGTCAGGGGCGGGGCCTTGGCTTGGTGCTCAGGAGAATTTAATTAAACCAACTGATTGTGCCCTCCAGGCACCTGGAGCCTCAGCTACCTACAGCACACTGCCGGAGCAGCTGCTTATACCCTGCCCCTTTATTATGCTCTGAGAACCAGAGAGGGCAGAGATGAAGCCTGGAGTGGAGCCATTAATTTGGGGAAGGGGTGCGGTTTGCAGATGTTTGCCCAGAGGGGCGCCATCCAGCTGGATTGTTTTTCCTAATTACAGTAGTGAAACTTACTGTAAAAGTCAGACTTTACCCAGTATTTGAAAGCTCCTGGTCATCCTCCCACCCACAGATAAGCACTATTTATAGCTTTTATGGTGTTTATTCTCTGGTTGGTCCTCTATATATTCGTTTTATTTCATTTTGTTTTTACAGAAATGGGATCATCCTATAGGTCTGGTACCAGACCAGGAGCTTGGACATCATCTGAAGTATGTCAGAAACGTGGAATCTCGGGGCACTTGGGTGGCTCAGTAGGTTAAGCGTCTGCCTTCAGCTCAGGTCATGGTTTCAGGGTCCTGGGATCGAGCCCCACCTCGGACTCTCTGCTCAGTAGGGAGCCTTCTCCCCCAACCCCTCGTGCTTATGCCCTCTCTGTGTCAAATAAATAAAATCTTAAAAAAAAAGATATAGAGGGGCGCCTGGGTGGCTCAGTGGGTTAAAGCCTCTGCCTTCGGCTCGGGTCATGATCCCAGGGTCCTGGGATCTAGCCCTGCATCGGGCTCTCTGCTCATCAGGGAGCCTGCTTCCTCCTCCTCTCTCTCTCTGCCTGCCTCTCTGCCTACTTGTGATCTCTATCTGTCAAATAAATAAATAAAATCTTAAAAAAAAAAAAGATATAGAATCTCAGGCTCTGCTCACGGCCTGCTGGCTCACAACCTGTGTTTAACAAGAACCAAGAGCCCCAGGAGATTCCTATGTGCATCAGAACAGAAGAAGCTCCAATATATATCATTATATGCAGCTTGAGATTTGGTGGGGGGGTGGGAGGAAGGGGTTAACAAAATCATTCTGCAATTTAGCTCGAAAAAATTTTATTTACATAATTGGGAATTGTCCAGAGATTCTTTTTTTTTTTTTTTTTTGGGTAAAGCATGAAAATGTTGGGGGCTTGTACTATCAGGCATTAAAATATATTTCCAAACTGTAATAATCACGCTATGTAGTAGCATCACGGGAAGAGACGGGCAGAATCCTGGAGCAGAGTAGGCCTGGAGGTAGATCTATATGAACATGAGAGTTCATTACGTGATAAAGGTGCAGCTCAAATTAGAGGCAAGTAAGAGGCCTCCAGGTAAGGCTACAGCCTCAGACTTCATTTCAGATGCAAAGAGAGGGGGCATCTCTTTTCCCTTTGAACATTGGGGGCCTTTGCCTGCAAGAGATTGGTTAAAAGCAATTAACATGAGTTTTGCCCCAACAGTGTCCCCAACAAGTTACCAGCCATTATCTTGTCTTGTCTTCAAGGAGTCAGGACAAGGGGCACCTGGGTGGCTCAGTGGGTTAAGCCTCTGCCCTCAGCTCAGGTCATGATCTTGGAGTTCTGGGATCGAGCCCGCATCAGGCTCTCTGCTCAGCGGGGAGCCTGCTTTCCCCTCTCTCTCTCTCTCTCTGCCTGCTTCTCTGCCCACTTGTGATCTGTCAAAATAAATAAATAAAATCTTAAAAAAAAAAAAAAGGAGTCAGGACAAAGTCATATACATTCTAAAAAATGTTCCATTCCCTCCCCATGATAAAGTCATCCAAACCGATTGCAGCAAATTGAAAAAAGGAAAGAAAGTGACCCCCCAACGAGCCCACTATGCACATATATTTATTTTTTCTAAAACTAGGATCATAATTGTGTAGGCAATTTTGTAACCTGCTGAGTTCACTTCACAACATATCGTGGGTGTTTGCATAACCTTTGAAAGCATAATTTCTGATGGCTGTGTGCTACTCAAGGTAGACACCATGATTTACTTAGCTGTTCCCCTAAAGTTGATTACTTTCCAGACAGCCATTATAAATAATGTTTTCCATGAATGACCTGCTGCCTTTAAAAAGTCTCCTTTCTGATTATTTTCTTGGGCACGTTGCCTACAAGCCAAACTACCAGGTCAAAGGGCAGAACACGTTCAAGAGTCTTGATACAGAACTTGCAGATTGCTTTTCTGAAAGATGAATCAACACAGGATCACGGGCATGAGCATTATTTTTAGTTTTTTTTTTTTTTTTTTTTTTTTTACTTTGGCAATTTGCTAAGCTCACTCAGTGCCAAGTGCCAGCGCTTAGCATTACGTAATATCATCTTCACACCCACCCAGGGAGGGAACACCCATTTTATAGACCGGCTCAGAGAGGACTCCCCAAGGGGCCCGGGTCCCCTAGCCAGAAGGGAGTCGAGCCCGGATTCGACCTCTCAGACTTCTGCGTGATTGGACCTAGTTGGGAAGCCTAAGCGATCTTAACTCGGCTCCTTCTCTCCGTCCCCATTGGTTGCGTCTTGGTTCTCACCAGAGTGAGTTTTCTAAGCCGGGAGGATGTGATGCTGTCGCACTCTTCCCTAGACACCCTCCCCTAGCGCTCCCTGCCCTTCGGGATAAATTATGCCCAAGACCAGGCCTTCAAAGCTCCCACGGTCCAGGCTGCCCTTCCACCCAAGGGCAGTCCTACTGACTCCGGCCCCCGCCTGACGCGGTGGCCACGCTGAGCCACCTTCGCGCCTCTAAATCCAGGCGGAATTAGCCGGTGTCGCCGCCCCGGGCTGCAGCGGAACGGGTCCCCAGGTTTTAGGGCTGCGCTCGTCGCACGACTGCAGCGATTGGTTGACTCACTCGGGCCTCCGCGGCCGAGCGCGCGGGACCGACCTCCAGTTCGCTTGCCTCTAGCGCCACCGTGCGCCGTGTCCCCCGCAAAAGCGGCGCTTAATGCAAAAGAAGCCCATTGCTCCGGATTGTTGTTACCTTTAGGGACGGTGTTAGGTAACAGAAAAAGGAAAAGGGATCGCTGCTTAGAGCCGAGGGTTGTTTGGCTCAGTGACTCCATGTGGGGACCAAGGAGAAGGGCACCGGAATGAGGGACCGAGTCGTCATTAAAGAGTCCTTGGGGGCAGAACAGTTTCAGGCTCAGGATGAGCGCCGTTTTTCATAATGGAACTCAGCCCTCCTCACCCCGTCCCGAGTCAAATGGAAGAAACACGTTGAGTCGGACATCCCCACCCACTTCGAGGGCAAATTCTCCAGCCCGCTGTGCTTGTCACCCTCTCGCTGGGTCTCGGTCCCCGAATGTGCCGAGGCCGGCTGCACGGCCCCTCCCACCCCAGCCCCGCGCGGGG